ATACGGGCATGCAAAATACACTTGTGAAAAGCTTGAAGTCTGGCGATTCTAAAAATATATACTTTCCCGGGTCTATTTGTAGTCATTTAGTCACAATTAGAAGATGAAAACAAGTATGCAAATAATAGTCCCGCTACCTTAACGTAAAACTCTGCTTCTTGAATTTCAAAAATTTAGCACCCTACCCCTCCAGAACCTAACAAGGAGGGGTCATGTCAAAAAACGAAATTCCTTCCCATTTTTTATTAAGAAAAAGAAAGCTAACAGAACCAAAACACTATCTTTATTTGTATTTGTTCAGATTTGGTGTATGTTATCTTCAATACACACAGTATATTCAGAGACTCTAGTCCAACAGGTATCATCACAACAAATACAAAATAATCAGTAAACTTGCAAGTAAAAAAACCCCCAGTACTTACTGCAAAGTAGCATCTCTGACGAGTGGTTCAAACTTGGGTCCTCCTGGAATAGCCATGTTAAGAGCCTTTGATGTAAAGAAGGATTTCAAATCAAAGAGATAGAAGTAATTATCATCCACCAAGTCTGTTAGTAGCTGGTTAGCCAGACGATACAATGTAGACATAATAGGGAGACTCAAGGCCCATCGCCTGTAACTTGTGCCATTTACAAACCTGTAAACAGAGAGATTACAATGGTTAAAAGCACTGGAAGAAAATCGGCCATTTCGTAGGCAAAGTTATTTGTTCTTGTGTAATGCACAACAATAATAGAAGTGGGCAATTGAAAGTATGGAGCAACTGTATTGATCTCGAAAGAAAATATGTGAAGATTGTGGCTATAATATGTTAATCAACTTTTATTCATGACTACTATTAATCAAGGAGAACAAAACAAGGTCTTGGCCTGAATTATTAAGGACTGACTGTAGATCAAATAAGGTATACACTGTGATATGCTACTGAATACTGTCTGTGAATCAACACTTTACGTAGATGTGAAAAAATAGAAGAATTTCAGTTCACTGCAAGATCTCCCATAATGCATGTAGAGGACTGACCAAAAACTTTACTCTCAGAGGGATATTTGACTTTGAGATCATCTTACTGCATCAAAATTGACCATCAAATGCGTATATTACATAATTAGGCATAATTAAGTTTCATTTGTTCGTCCTGTTTTTATGTTCAATTTCACGTACAGAAAGGGATCTAGCAGTGAACGAAAAATGGTCTATTCACAAACAACTGTTTCTGACTTACTTTGTATCTTGCAGTGGCCGATGGTCATAAAACCATTCAAATACCGCTTCATCTTCATCATTATCTAGTTCCATCTGTATCGGTTCTAACGGTTCAACATCTAATATGTTATCAGAATAATCCAAGGGAGGTTCTTCATCATCAAATGGTGGAAATCTCATCCTTTTAAAATGACGACGATCTCTCTTCTCACGACGCATCATAATCCACATTGTTCTGTTCAAAACAAAAGTTATTTGTATATGAACACAATGGTCTTGAGTGACTGAGAAGTTTGATGCAGATGCTATGCTATGAATTTCTGGCTGCTATGTGCCAATAAAAATGCAACTGAAGACTGAATGCAATCACCATAGAGTTTGTGGACAACCATCACCACATATCCCGAATGAGAATGAAGCACTGTCAGATGAGTGATTTTGTTTCTACCAGTTTTCTGTGGGACCTTCTTTGCTATTTGCGAGTAGTGAAAACTTTAAATCTTTCATTCACATTCAACAGGGAAATATTCAAACAAGTCATTGTCAATGACACGTCCCCGTTCCGTTCATATTTGAGTGACATATACATTCAAAGCAGATCATGACCGAAATGCACCTGCATATGTACAACACATTGTGCTAAATCTGAACAAAATCCATCCATGCATGACTGAGATCCGGTTCTGGAATTGTGAAAATACGTGATTTTGATGCATTTTCGGCCTTAAAATGGCCATCATTCCGCTATTGTTAAGCAGATCATGAAACATATGCACATATCTATTTGTGACATGATGTACCATGTGTGTGTGAAGTTTGAACTTGATCAATCCAGACATGTCTTGGATACGGATCCAGAACTGAATTCTTCAACAAAA